AATGGGAAAAACAATCCTGTAACTTCGAGCTGAAACCTACTCTCCTAACAATGTTTCTTCATTTTCATAGGAATAACATTATGTTAGTAATTCTTCGAAAATATCAAAGAATAAACGCTGGATAAAAGCATCAATGCGTATTTTAATGGAAAATTAAACACATCTAGCCCAAAATCGTATTGCGCCACAATTGACATACATTAATCCCTCAAATCTTTCTTAAATGAAATTAGAGCAAAAGATAATTTCTATAATGCAATTATTCAATAAATAGAATCACACAAACTGAAACTCCCATGGTCTTCTTTTCTTTCATTGATTCGTGTTGCATAGTTTTGCCTCTCACTGCAGCTCGAAGCCTCGAACAATTCCTCTCTATATGATTCGAAAATTATAAATAATGAGGGGTACGAAAGTAAAACAAACCTGGATTCTATGATCAATGTTCCATTCAGTTTCACCGTGACGAATAACAATAATCTCCGCATAATTCCGTTCAACAGATTCAACCTCACCATTTCCATCGCAGTCAGGTTGAGATAAAGTCACCCCCCTAGGATCGGCCATCAAATGACACAGGATTATGCTTTGGAAATTGTTTGGTTTTTTGAAGAGCAGTTGTTTCGAGTTAAGAAGTTGGGGGTCAATAGACTCCGGTGGAGTGGGAGAGAAATTGCGCGGTGATTTCACGCTACCCCACCGGAGTGCACTCATATCAAACGGGTCGATAACAGATTTATGCTTGGGCTTTGGCCCTAGTCCTAGTGCAGAGCCTGTTTGGGTTTATTAAACCTATTTCATCGAACTGTCACGACCTTTTTTTTTTTCTCTACCTACATATCTACGACTCATTTTTATCTATTTATAAACAAAACAGTTTATAAACACTTTCTAAACATGATTTAATTTTTATGTGTGATTATAGTAATTTCAGTGAATATTATTCGCACCGCATTTATCAATTCTTGTGTTAATGGTAAAATATCAATTGGTAATGGTAATCATGGATAGTTTAACCAAATTTTATCAGTGAGTAATTTGCGATTTTATTGAAGTGGAAGTCATTTTGGCTTGGATTAATCTATTTGTACATTCCTCATTGATATCTTGGACGACATCCCCTCTACGTGTAAGAAGCTTGATCATTGATTGAAGAGTGTTGTTAAAATCAATATATAAAAAATTGCCAACAAATATGATGTCAAACTTGATGCATATATAGCAAAATTCATTTTGACTTTTATAGCATTACTTTATTGATCTCTGAATTTCTATATTTTGATGCAAACATGCTGAATGTACAGCCTTTTTGTACATTCACTTTGACCACCCCCTCACATGGGGGGTGGGGCCCACAATCGCGAGCACCACCCCATGTGAGGGGACTATCAAAGTGAATATACAAAAAGGCTGTACATATAGCATAGTTCATTTTGATGAGACTTAGGTGGCCAACAGATTCATACATGCTTCGATAATCAAGTTAATAAAATGAATAGTAAAATATATGACATTGCCCGTGGCTTATAGAGATGTCGCGTTATTCACATTGCATGTGGCTCTAGGTATCATATTATGTCCCTCTTTGGTATCAATTAAAATTTAGATTTTAATTTAAATCGAAATCAACAATTCATTTCAACTACATATTTTATGGGTCACGTAACTTTTCAATCATATATTTCATCAACTTCTATCAAAATTTACTAAAAATCTGATTTTAATCTCTACCAAACATATGTTATATTTGTCCTAAGCAATGGCGGACTGAGGGGGGACCCGAGACTGGGTTGGGCTTTAGTCCAGTCCCTTCCTAGCCCATTTCGGTTTTCTACATTTTTTTTTTTTTACATATTAGTCCGACTTAAAAAATATTTTAGTCAGCCTTAGATCCACCCTTGATTCTAAGGCAAAAGGGTTTGGGCCTAGCTGCCTCAGTCGTCCATAGCCTCATCTAACACGTTAAAAGTTAGGCCCATGCTAATCAGGGGCGGACCAAGGAAATTTTTTAGGAAAATGCGAAAGGTACATCAAAGTGTACATCAGGGTGTCCATAATGGACACCCACCAACACTCACTCCAATGAGGAGGTGCCGGGTGTCCATTATGGACACCCTGATGTACACTTTGATGTACAAGAAGCACAACCCAATTTTTTCAGTGCTGACGATATTAAAAAAAAAAATTATAATACAAACATTATATTAAAATGAAATACCTTACAATTGTTTTTTACGAGTTTTCATACTTTGATATCTTTGTACAATCGCCTCATTATCGATCTTTAAAAATATATGTTTCTCCACATAAGGAGTTCGAGATACTAGACATGATGCCGATAGCGTGAAGTCCACAACACAATAACGACAAAACAAGCAAGCTGGAAGTAGAAAATACCAACCAAAACCAGCCCAACCAAATAAAAACAACATGCCCAAAACTTTAAAGCCTCAAAACCAAAAACTGCAAAGAAATATACCTGCCTCAGAAATGTCTGGATGGAGAAGAAAGCTTTGATCGTAATTGTTTCTTCCTCCAGAAATGTCTGACTACAAACCAGCCACCAAAAATAATCTCAAACGTTGCTAATAGCACCACTTTAGTTATGCCCAGAACTTTTCGATTGGCTAAGAAATATGCGACAACAGCACACGCACAGTTGACTACCTAGGTGACAACCCTAAACGCAATTACAGACTCTTTAACCTCCACATAAAAATAAAAAATACGTTTCTCTCAAGTTGCTTGGTTTCAAAATTTATTAAATAGCATTACTTGGTTAGTTAGTTTCAAATCAAAATGTTCCCCAAAGTCTGAAACAGAGTTACATAAACACCGAAAGTCTGAAACAGGCAACAGTGAACATCCAAAGTGCCAAACTCATAGTGCACTCACGACAGAAAATTCAATAGTCGACCAGACCGAGATCGAGATGCGGACGGCGGATGAATACCCCACAACACTTGTGAAAACAGCCAATAGCAAATGAATACGAAGTTATAGAAACTTACCTACTGGGCGCTTGGCTAATGAAAACAGGGGATGTGTTGCGCGGTGCGTGGTGGAATGTGGATGCAGATTGCAGGGGATTGTAGGGCTTCTATCATAGAGTTCTCTGTTTCTGTTGGTATTGGATTGTAGGGTTTCTATTATACCGTTTGGGCCAAATAATTGGCCCACTTGTTTTTTTTTTTAAATTTGGGTTTCTGAAAATAACTGGGTCCGCCCTTGCTGCTAATCACTTTGGACAGAAGAAGTGACAAATCTACACAAAAAATGTTGCCTCGAAAGTTGCCATTAACCAAGCATTGACATGCTCTCAAAGTCTTGGAAGATAATGGTGATGAAACGAGGGGCTATGCCTTTGTCGTCTCGGTGCTTCTTTTGGCCTGTCTTGAAGATGTTTACGTGGCATTTGGCCTAAATAGCAGCCACGTGACTTGCTACATAGGCAAAAAGATGTAACACTATTAATAATGCTGAAGTCATGCATGAATCATTTGAGATTTACTATTCAAATCTCACGACTTGTCAGGGTCAAATTTACATCTTAGCATGCATATAATATATGCTCGAGTTTCATACGAACTAATTCATTAATTAAGGCTGTGTCATTTTCAATCTGGCTTATATTCTCGACAACTATTTGAAAGTAAAGTTTTTAAATGAAAATGTAATATACGACGAAACAGAAAAATCCGAGAAATTTTTCGAAGTTGAAGTCTTCGATTTTCATTTCCTACCGACAATTTTCCAATTCTAAACATTATGCAGTGGGCCGAACGCGTGTTGCACTTTGGTCCACCAGATACGGCAACCATTTGTCTTATATTTCGATTGACCCGTAATATTGTGTCGTCAACCATTATTACTGCTCCCAATATTCATTCTTAAACCGTGTATGCTTTTGCTAAATATCTAAAAAAAAATTGACTTGTAATTTTTGAGAAGTCAAAATGAGTGTTTAATATTTAAATGTTATTTTTAAACTAGTTTGATTAATTTTATAAAGTGTTTCTCTTAATTTTAACTAAAATTTCTTTAGAAAGAAAATTAGTTTTTCAAACAATAATTAAGTTAATTTTCTTCAGAAGCTTTTCTACCTAGAGATGGCAACGAGGCGAGACCAGGGGCCGTCCCCGCCCCGCCACGCCCAGCCGTCCTCGCCCCGTTACCCGTTTAAGGCAAGGCTGGGCCGGGTACTTGCCCCGTTTACTACCGTTTAATTTTTTTTATATATAATTTATTTTTATTGTTCACGTTCATTAGATTTAGACAAATAATTTTAGTTGCTATTTTCTATTAGAACTAATAAAATTTTGTGAAATTTTTCATTTAAAGTATTGAATTAAAAAAAAATTAACGGGGCGGGGTGGGGCATCCGTTACCCATCCCCGCCCCGCCCCGCCCCGCCCCGAATATCCGATTAAGCGGGTTATCTTTGCCCCGTTCGGGATGGAGCCTCACGGTACCGGGTTTGTCGGATTTTTTTTATCATCCCTATTTCTACCAAATGTAAAAGCAAAAACTGAAGCCCTGCCAGACAGATCATTAGTAAATTTTGATAAGTGTTGATAAAATGTTTAGTTGAAATTTTGATAAAAACTATTGGTTCTATGAAATTTGTGGTTAAATTTAAATGTTAAGTTTGAATTAAATTTTTTAGATACATTTTTAAAATGGGTTAAATTATGTTATAAAAATAATAATTTAAACTAAACTCACATTTTTTAAGTAAGATGAAATTTGTTAAGTTCCCAATTATACGTTTTTGTGGGGTTACATTTGAGAATTTTAAGAGAGAATGAAAGCATGTATTCACACCTGAAGTCGCCTCAGTACTTGGAAAGTTCAAACAAAAAGAAATTTGACAAATCAATAATTCAATAAAGCCACTTACTTTCGCCATATATAGAGAAGGGCATTAAAGAATTTTAAGACACCGCCTTTCTTCCTTAAAAAATCTTTATTCTGTAGTTTGGTAGTTAAAAAAAATAAAAATGGAGAAGAGGGTTTTTCTTTTTGCAGTTACTTTGGTAACAATTCTTCAGAATTTGCAATTTCCAGTGGCTAATGCTCAAACAAAAGGAAGAATGGTAACAGTTTTGAGTCTTGATGGAGGTGGCATTAGAGGAATTATTCCTGGCACTTTTCTTGCCTTCCTTGAAGCCAAACTACAGGTATTTTATAGTGCACGTTTGGTACACAATATTGCACACACGAACTGAAATATTATTCCCTTCCTCCTCACAATACATACCACTGTGATTTTCCAGGAATTAGATGGACCTAATGCAAGAATTGCAGATTATTTTGATGTAGTAGCAGGAACAAGCACTGGGGGTTTAATTACTACTATGCTCACAACTCCTGGTGAAGATAATCGTCCCTTATATGCTGCGAAAAACATTACCAGCTTCTACTTGGAGCATGGTCCCAAGATCTTCCCTGAGAAAAGGTAAAATAATTTTGTCGAGATTTGCTTAATTTGCTCGGTTATTATTGATTAAGCGCTGATCGTGTTTTCGTATGTTTGATCTTAAGCCGGAACAACTTCTTTTCGACCATCACAAATGTATTAGGTGGTCCAAAATATGACGGGGAGTACCTCAAGTCATTGATTCAAGAATTAGTAGGCAATCTCACTCTGAACGAGACTTTAACAAATGTGGTGATCCCAGCTTTTGATATCAAGCGCCTTCAACCAATTATTTTCACTACAAAAGGAGTAATTATATTTTTACCTCTGACCTCTGACATATCTATATTTGGATATTTTAACGAACAAAATTGTAATATTAATTTGATCAAATCTTGTACAGGCAAAAGCAGATGTTTCCAAGAATGCTCAGCTATCAGATGTCTGTCTAGGCACGTCTGCAGCTCCAACTTTTTTCCCTCCACACTATTTTGAAACTACCGATGCACAAGGAAAAATAAAAACTCATGATCTTGTTGATGGAGGGGTTGCTGCAAATAATCCAGTTAGTTTTGGCTTATTGAACTAATACTTGTGATTTTGTTGGATAATTCTTGAAAATCTGATTTTAGCTAATTTGAATTATGTTGATGGATATGTTACAGACTCTGGTGGCCATAACCCACATTTCCAAAGAAATTTTGTTGGGGAATTTTGAACTGGTGGACATGGAACCAATGAACACAAGCAGGATGCTGGTTCTGTCATTAGGCTCCGGTATGGCCAGGCTAGAAGAGAAGTACAACGTAAAGGACGCCACCGATTGGGGCTTGCTTGGTTGGGTGTACAATAATGGTGCAACACCACTGTTGGACATCTATGGTGATGCAAGCTCCGATATGGTCGATATTCATGTTTCAACCCTTTTCCAATCCCTTCGCAACGAAAAAAATTATCTTCGAATTCAGGTACCCAATCTTATCCTTGGTATCCAGTATTCAACATGACAATATTATTCAATTTTTTTTCCTACCGAATGTGTCATCTAGTGTTTCACGTGGTGTAATATTTTGGTGTTGAATGGACAGGAGGACGCATTGTCTGGGGATGCATCATCTCTTGATATTGCTACCACAAAGAATATGCAAACACTTGTTCAAATTGGAGATAGTTTGTTGAAGAAGCCGATTTCAAGGGTGAACTTAGAGACGGGCAGGCCCGAGCCAGTTCAAGGAGAGGGTACAAATGAAGAAGCTCTTACTCGATTTGCAAAGTTACTGTCTGATGAAAGAAAGTTCCGGCAAGTCGACTAGAAGATTGACACTAGGCATTTACATTTTTTCATCTAAAATATTATTTTTGCCCTAGATTTCGTTCTTTATATATAAATAAATGTATGTGTATAATTAAATAAACCCATGAGGCTCATATGGGTGGATCATAGTATGATGCTGTCATTTCTTTCTTCAAATAAAAAGTAGTAGAATTTTTGTGTAACTGACTTTTCCTTCATTGCTTTATAATTCAAAATTTCCAACTATTCATACTTGATTTTTCTTCAATTGCAATAGGAAGAATTCGAAGAAAATGGAATAATAACTAACTATGACTTGACTGCCCAAGGAAGTGGACAATAAGCCATGTTTGGTAGTATAAAATTGGACACTGTCATATACAAGATTTTAGCTTGTTTTTGTTTTCTTTCTTAGTGTTTGTTGAAATAGTTAAAAAAAATTCTAAAAATTGAGGTTAAAGTCAATAATTAATCTTAATCGCATATTTCATAGGATCAACACTTTTATCAACTTGTCAACTGTACAATTTATCAACTTTTATTAAAATCTGCTAATTTTTTTTTTTTTTTTTATCAAAAATAACATTTGCTGCTGGACAATCTTGTCAGACATTTTGAATTATATCATCAATACTGCATATCAACATGCTTTGAGTTCATTAATGGTTTGCGTCGATATGACGGATAGCAGCAATGCCTGGACGAGCAAGAATGAAGAACTAGAAAAGCTGAAGGAAGATCTCAAACAAGCTAAAAGATGATGTTATTGTAAGTGTTATGCCATAGGTCTAATCAACTTTGGACATAAACACTTTTAATATATATAATCGATGCATATTTATGGCAAGATCTATTATTTAATTGAATTAATATTCTAATAAATTAAATAATAGAATTCGGACATTCAAGTCTTGGTGATTTGTTAATCACAAGGAGTTTTGATAAATAAATTAAATAATAGAATTCATATATTCATGTTTTGGTGATTTGTTAATCACAAGGAGTTGTGATTGTGAGATACAAATTACATATGACTAATCTTAAATTGTCTGTAGTCGTATGTAATAACGAGATACGGATATCGTTATTACGGATAGACCATCACGTGTGACATTTCTTACATGTGAAGTAAGTAGTTGATCACAAAAGCTAAAGTGTGGTTACACTTGAATGAATACGTGAATGTTTTGTTATAGAACAAAACATTGGAGACCCCGCTTGGGACATTCCACATGGATAACTATCTCAGTGTCAATGGTTAATATCTAACGTCCGATAGTGGAATTGGTTATTTGACTTGAGGTCATCATAGTACCTTATATGAGGACAGTCATACTTTGATAATGCTAGGTGTGGCTCTGCCAAGGGCCGCTAATATGGCATCATTCGGGTATGTCAATAATCATATGAAGGTTGTGAATGATTAATAGAATATTCGTCAATCTAGATAGTAAGATATTATGATCTATATTTTATTTAGTTAAGTTGACAATGAAATCATTGACCAAGGTGAACTCATAACTCGAAAATGAATTTTCGACTTACATTGACTTAACTGTGAGATAAAAGATATGATCGATAATTGAGATGACATATATCCTTATCTCGTAAATGATGGGATCATATTGACGAAAAGACTGTATTTTACTATAAATGAACAAGTTTGATTTTGTCATACCACGTGACATTTTTCGTCACATGTATTGCCCTGATATATTGTTAGATGTCAATTTGGGACGACATATGTGAATCAATGATAAATTAAAATGGATGTTTTAATTTATCGATTTTGATTAGATCAAAAGAATAATTCACGTCGTTAGATATCGTGATTGAGAACATAATGAGTCACACACAAAAGGAGAACTAGAAGAATGTGGTTTACCAATTAATTAATTGACAAATGTTGGATAATTAATTAATTTTGTCGTTTATTAATATGTCCGAATTAATTAATTGGCTTAATTAATTCATGTATCAGATTTAATTAATTTGATTAATTAATGATCGATAATTGAGATTGACACATATTCATATCTCATAATTGATCGGATCATATTGACGAAAGGATTATAGTTTCACGGTAAACGAACAAGTTTGGTTTTGTCATACTACGTGATATTTCCCGTCACATGTATTGCCATGACACATTGCTAGATGTCAATATGGGACGATGGACGTGAATTGGTGATAAATTAAAAGGGTATTTTAATTTATCAATTTTGATTTGATCAAAATAATATTTCAAATCGTTAGGTATCGTGATCGAGAACCTAATGGGTCACACACAAAAGAGAATCAGAATAATGAGATTTACCAATTAATTAATTGACAAGTATTGAATAATTAATTAATTGGATTGCTTATTAATAGGTCCGGATTAATTAATTCATGAACCAAATTTAATTAATTGAATTAGTTAAATATTGGACAAATTAAACTAAGCGATTGGTCAGCTCGTTTAGACTTGTATTAATAGGCTGCTATGATTTGAAAAATAATTATTTTTGCTAGCACAAGAAAAGTAAAAACCCTAGTTTTCTCAATTTTGTTCTCTGTATGGATTTCCATTGGAGGTTGAACAATTAGACAGCTGTGGATTGCAGTTCGTGTTCGAAAATCAGCAAAGCAGTTTGCACAATTCATCAAAAGTATAATTTCTATTAGAGTTTCTCTCTAAACACAAAGTATATCTTTGGTGGGAATTGAAATTGTTTTATTTTCTACTGTGCATGATTAAGTAAATTCCCAACAGTGGTATCAGAGCATACTCTGTGCTTGTTAGAAACTGTTTTACATCTTAGATCATTCAAAAGTTGATTGTTCATATTTTTCTTGAATCTAACAATTTAGAAAATAATTTTTCATCTTCAAAATCTGTTTTGAAAAAGAAAATAATTTTTTAGTAATTTTTTTTTTTTTTTGGATCTGAAAATCTTGGCAGCGACGACGACGCAACCAACCATGGCGGCAAAACACGTTGCAATGCACGACAGCACGTTGCCACTCACAAGGTAGTACGCCGCCACGGGGCGAAAGCAGAAGCGATAGTCGCTGCATCTAGGCGGCAGGAGGCCGCCGCTGTTTTGACGTCAATGAGCCCCTGCCGTGGTCAGTAGAGTCGGCACCGGCGAAAGAAAAAAATAGGTTTTCAGTTACGAATGGAATGTTTTGGAGGCGGGGGCCTCTGATGCAATTTGTGAAATTGCAGGCTCTCGCCTGCAAATATGATTTAAGGGTCAAATCTGTAATTTTTAGATGGGGAGCCTGTCATGCAATTTAATTAATTGAAGGGCATGTTTACAATTTTAAAACAGGGGCCAGATTGTAATATTTGAAATGATTTTGAATTTAAATTTAACAATTTTGACCCATTTAAAATTGACGACTTTTAT